GAGGATAATAGGAAAACCGTGGAGCCTGGCCACCACGGCCCAGTGGTTGAGAGTCAACCTAAGAACCAGGTCAGGGTTTGATTCCTGGCCAGGGCACACGCCCGGGTCATGGGCTCAATCCCCAGTAGGGGGTGCGCAGGAGGCAGCCGATTGATAATTCTCTCTCATCATTGGTGTTTCTCTCTCTCCCTCTCCCTTCTTCTCTCTGAAATCAATGAAAATGTATATATTTTTTAAAAAGTGGAGTCGTCTAAGCTCTGCCAGCTAGGTGATCTCAGGCCAGTCAATCACCTACCTCCCCTGGGCCTCTGTAGCCTTCGGTCAAATGGAAGAGCGGGCCTCCTCTAAGTACCCCTTCCAGCATGAGCAATGCGCTCCTTTGGGGTGGATCCTCAGAAGGATAACTAACATGCGCTGAGTGGGCTTTACAAGGAGTAACTCATTAAAGCCTCACAACCCAGAGAGCGCAGTACCCCACTGTAAAGATGAGGGGACTGAGACCCAGAAGAGTGAAGTCACTTGCTTGGAAATTCCTGCGTGGTGGAGGTAGAATTTGAACACACACAGCCATACTCACCCACTAGGCCAACACCCTTCCTGCAGAGCATGGTGGGCGAGGGCAGTCACTGGAGCCGGACTGCTCGCCTCTGTGGGACCCTGGGCAAACTTTATCTCTGCTGTGCCTCAGTTTCCCCATCTATAAAGTGGGGGATGAAAGTAATACTCTCTTCCTCATGGGATTGCTCTGCTGAGTGTTCCACGAGCCAGGTTCTGAGCTGCACACTCAGTTTTACTTTGGCATTAACCCCCCATGTGCAGCCAAGGAAACTGGGGAGAGAGGCTGATTCACCTGCTCCAGGTGGCACTGTGAGTAAGTTGTGGCAATGGGACTGAAACCCAAATGCCCTGCCTTCAAAGTCCGTGCTTTCAACCATCTGCTGCACCTGCATGAGACACCCTCAAAGTCCATGTTCAGAACCAATCTGACTGCAAATTGGCGCCCCCCACCCACTGCCTGACTCACCACCAGCGTCCGGAACCCTATGCCTTGGTTTGGACTTATCCTTTCATGGCCAGTCACCAGCATCGGTGACTCACTGATCCCTTAATGGAAATGCCACTCAGTTCCCTCCCTTCCTCCTCAGCTCCAGTCCAGACCACCAAAGCTGAGGACAATGTCACCAACTACCCATTGAAAAGTGGAGACTTGCAGAGGGGCTGGGCCAAAACCACTCCTGGTCCCTCAGCCCTCCAAGGCGTTGTGGCCAAGAATCCAGACGGGAGGTGGGAGATTGGAGGGGGGTCTCTCTTTAGAGACAGTTGGCCTCACTCCCCAGCCTCAACCCAGAGAACCCGAGGACGTGGCATGAGTCCACTGGAATTCAGGAGGTGAGGTGACTAGGGACAAAGGTGAGAGGCTGGCTAGAGTAACCCGCTTCCATGAGGCAGGGACCCGGATGCCCTGGGAACAGCCTGCGCTCCCAGCATCCTGGGCCCCAGCAGGACCCTTGCAGAATGTGGCTGGTTTGATATCATTGTGAATTAGGATCCTGCCCCAAGGGGACCGGAGGGGATCAGGGAAGGTGTGTGTGATCCTATCAGAGGAACCTGTGTTGGGTGGGCCCCTGAAGACGATGTTCAGGGGGGTTGTAAGCACCTGCCTGCCAGGGGACCCTTTGCCCAGGTAGGAACTGCAGGTGGGAGATCTCTAGTGATGCGGCAGGAGGGGGGTCTCTGAAGAACCCACAAAAGTGCCCCTGATGAGAAAGAGCCAGTTTCCAGGCACCTGACCCACCTGAGAACACCGGCTCTCCTGAGTACTCCTGAGCCAGCCAAGTCACGCTTACCTTGTCACCTCTCTGTCCTTCCTGCCCCCAGCTGCAATCCTGGAGATACCAGAGGCACCTGTGGGAGAGGAGACGGGAGGGAAGACCACGCTGGGTCCCAGAGGAGAAGCCCAGGGTGCCGCCTCCTTATACAGGTGTTTGCATTTAAGGAAGACTTGAGCTGGGGAGGGGGAGGGCGGCTTTGAGTAAAGCTTAAATCTTCACAATTGGACCAGACTTCTTTAATATGTAAAAAAATAAGGCAAACCCCAAGAGTGACTGAAAAGCCATGAGATATGCCTGAGATTTCATGCAGACACTGGGGAAGAGTAAAAGGACTCCTGCCTGCAGCCCGCCAGGCACCGCTCACTGTGTTGCTCGCTGGGCAGCCTCCTCACAGGCACTCTGCGTTCCCTCCTGCTGTGCCTGCCTCCCCTCGAGCCCCCGTCTCAGTCCATCAGGCTCAGGGCCCCCAGAACAGCCTTCCCTGAACTGTGCGTCCATTCAGAGACAGCACATCCTAGTGGCCATGAGCTTGAACGTCTGGGCTTGAATCCCAGCTCCTCAACTTGGCAGCTGAGTGACCTGAAGCCAGCTGCTCCACCTCTCTGTGCTTCAGCATTGCTACCTGCAACATGGAGACGGGGGGAGCAGCGCACCTGTCCCACTGGGGGCTTGTGGGGCTTTACATGATTACACACAGAGCGCTTGGGGCATGCTAAACCATCCCAGTGCCAGCGTTCATCAGTGCTACCAAAAGCCTCCTTGCTGTCTAATCCCGGGCAAGTCCCTTTCCCCCCCCTGCTTCTCAGTTTCTGCATCTGAAAAAGAAACAGCCTGTGGGGATCATTCGCTGGTGGCAGCAGCTGATGCTGGTGGCAGGCAAACTTCACTGACAGAGAGACCCAAGCCCGGACCCACCCCAAGGTGGTCCAAGGGGAGAGAGCTGGCAGGCTCAGCGGGCAGGAGCAGAGAGGGCTCCCGCCAACAGAACCGCCACCCTACCTGGTCTCTTCTTCCAGCCTCTGAGAGTCTCCCCAACCTGCCCCCCACCTCCTCTAGGGGTCACCGGGGGTGCTTGAGCCAGATCAGGAAATACATGGTATTTGAGGAGGATCTGCCAGGTGCCCTTGGTTCCTCGACGGCCACAGCTGAATGGCTACCCAGATAAGCTCCAGGTAAGTCCCCTTGTCTGTAACCTCATCGCAAACCTCTGCCCTCTCTCTGTGTCTACCTTCCCTGTTCTCCTTCGAAGGGGGACCTTTTCTCTTTCACAGGCCTTTCATCATATCACAGGCAGCACCGGGCTGTCCATACCTATTTTACAGACCAAGGAAGGAAGGCTCCCAGAGCCCTAAAATTCAGCTCCTCTGCAGTGTCTGCAGAATCCTGGGGGTCATCAGAAAACCGCCACTTTGCTGTGGCTCAATTGGCTGGACATCTCCCCATTCACCAGGGGTTTGCCAGTTCAATTCCCGGTCAAGGGTACATGCCCAGGTCGCTGGCTCAATCCAGGGTAGGGGGAGTGCAGGAGACAGCCGATCGACGGCTCTCACACCGATGTTTCTCTCTCTCTCCCTCTCCCTTCTTGTCTCTCTAGAAAAATCAATAAACTATTCTTTAAAAAATAAAACTGCCTCTTCTAGAGGAGCTGGAGAGATGGCCATCCCTTAGGCTCTGTCATGCATAAAGCAAACACACACTGAGTGCTGGTGGCCAAGACAGGAGGAGGCAGGCGCAATGCCACACCTCAAGTTCTCGGACTTGCGGGGAAGTTACAGATCAGTGCAATGGACGCTGGGTGAGGGCAGGTTGGAGGCTGCAGTGGCCACTGGGTTTAGGGGGACCCTGGGAATGAGGAAGGGCCTGGAGAAGGGTGGGGTGAGCCCAGGGCAAAGGGAAGGTCCAGGATGAACCCGGCCGTCCCCTCATCGGGCAGGGAGTGGGAACATGCGACGTGGAATCGGAAAGCTTCTGAGTCCCGGCCCCAGGTGTGCACCCACTGACCACAGGACCTGGCAGATCCCTGCCTCACTCAGTTTCCTTTTTATCCCTGTGAAACACCGATGGCGATGTGGGGCTCCGGGGTTGCCACAGGGGAGCGTCTGGCAGAGTGAAAGGTGCGGGGAGGAACAGCGGGCGACAGGAGGACCCGAGCTGCCCCGGTGCCAGGAGACAGCGAGAGCCCCGGCCCCCCGACAGCCGCTCAAAGCCAACGAAGCTTATTAGGCGGCCACTCCCCGGCCGTCCCGGCTGGGCCTGCGCTCGCCCGCACACTCAGCCAACTCCCAGGCCCCCCGCAAGGAGGACACCCGTTCCCTCCTTGGTCTTCTGCCACCCCTGAGCTGGGAACAGATGTCCCTGCTTCCTGCCCGAGCCTGTGAGCGGGGCTGGCTGCTGCTGCTGCTTCCAGGGCCGCAGAAACCCTGGGTGGAAATCTCTGGGCTTCCCCAGGGAGGAGCCCTCTCTCTTCTCCAGCTTCTGCCCCGCCCGCTGGTCCCGCTCCTCACCCGCATCCCATCCGCTGCTGACTCGCAAACATTCCTGGGCCTTACCTGAGCCCTGCTTCCCCTTGCAGGGCCCCAGGCTGGGGTGTGCTGATGGAACACTTTCAGGGGCCTTGGTCTGGGTGATGCCCCAATTCTGCTCAGAAACGGGGTGGGAGGGGACAGCGAAAGGACAGAGCAGCTGTGGAGGAAGGCATGTGGGCACCCGCAGAATGAAAGTAAAGACGCAGAAGGAGGAAATGAACGTGTACCGAGCACCTGGGACATGCTAGTACCAGTGACCAGCACGCTAACCTGCCAGCCCGCTAGTCTAGTAAGGGAGCGGGAGCACGTATTGGGCACCGACCAAGTGCTAGACACCGCACCGTGCCTGGGACACAGAGCTGCGTGCTAAGGATTGTTCGTGCCCCCGAGTGCCCGAGAGGCCTTACATAGCACACCTCACCCAGTGTCATCTAAGTCTCACTTCAATCCTGTGAAGTAGGGCCCATAACCCCATTTTCTTTCTCTCTCTTTTTTTAAAATGAGTTTATTTGAGCCAAACTGACATCGCAGGCTTGAGAGCAAGATCTCAAGTGCACCGAGACCAACTGCAGTGACAGGGACTGTGCTTCGTTCTACTAGCTCCCACTTCGAACTGTGCCCTTAGGAGAGGCCCAGGGGGACCATGGAGGAGCTGCTCCCTGACGGTGCGTGGAGAGGTGGATGTTCACGGAGCAAGGGGTGGACTGTGGCAGCCAAGGAGGGGCACCGATCAGCTCCCCCTTCAAGGACCAGCTTGGGTAGGCTCCCTCCGGCTGCAGGGCCTTCAGGACCCATCGCAACTTTTGTTAGCCTTTAGAGCACTTTTAGGTTCACAGTAATGTTGAGCAGCAGGTACGGAGATTTCCCAAACACCCCCTGCCCCCCACATGCACAGCCTCCTCCACTATCAGCCTCCCAGATTGGGGTGTACATTTGCTACAATCGACGAATCTACACTGACACATCATGGTCACCCAAAATCCATAGTTTACACTGGGGCTCATTCCTCGTGTACATTCTATGGGTTTGGACTAACGTGTAATGACATATATCTACCATTATGGTATCATACAGAATAGTTTCACTGCCCTGAAAACCGTCTGTGCTCTGCCTCTTCACCCTTCCCTCCCTCCACAACCCCTGGCAACCACTGATCTTTTTACCGTCTCCATGGTTTTGCCTTTTCCAGAATGTCATATAGTTGAAACCATACAGCATGTAGCCTTTTCAGACTGGCTTCTTTCACTTAGTAGTATGGATTTCCGTTTCCTCCATGTCTTTTCATGACTGAGATAGCTCATTTCTTTCTAGTGCTGAATAATATCCCATTGTCTGGATGTCCCAGTTTATCCATTCGCCTACTGACGGACATCTTGGTTGCTCCCAAGTTTTGGCAATTATGAATCCAGCTGCTAAAAACATCTGTGTGCAGGTTTCTATGTCGACATCACCCCAGCTTTTGAGCTGAAGCCACCTTCTTCGGGGGTAGCTGAGCATGAAAATGTACTAGGGACTGGGCACTTGTGCCCAGTAAGACGTCCCTAGTAGGCGTTCTTGGCCCCAGAGCTCCCTGTTGGGTCAGCCAAGATTTGGTCAGATCTGCATTGAGGTCTGAGGCTCTCCCTGCCCAGTCCTTCCTCCTGCCCTTTTATCTTTCACAGGCTTAGCTCCCAATCAACCACTTGCACGCCGAATCCCATCTCAGTGTCTGCTTCCTGGACCCAACTGACAAACCTGCCTCTAAAGTCAATCCACAATCCATCAAATTCTCTCCATCATCATGACCTCCAAGCCCCATTGCTTTCACCTGGAGGGTTAATGGCTCCTAGCTGGCCCCCCGGGGCTGTTGCCTCCTGAGAGATGTTCTGGTCTCTCCTCACCAGCAGCACTGTGCAGAGCCCACACGGTAGCCATGGGGTCCAGAGCCCCAGTATGAACCTCCTTTCAAGTCAAGAATGTGGGCTTGGAAGGGAGACAGGTCTGGGTGTGGCCTTGGCCAGTGACTCCCATGAGTCGCAGCCCCTCTCCTCTCTCCTAGGATGTAGCGTGAACATCCACAGCCCTCTGAGCGCCCTTCCAGTCCTGCAACCCACTTTGGTCAGGAAATGCCTCATGGAAAACGAGCTGGAGGGAGCTGGATTGTGAAGGATGGTAGACTTTTTTTCCAAAGTTTTAATTGCAACGTTAATTTGCAACAAAATATATATAGACATTTTTGACAGGAGAAAGTAAAAGGCTCCTCCACCACCCCCACACCACACCCCACTCCCATTCCTGCTGTTCCTGCCCCTGCGGCCCACATGCCCACCATGGTTTGCCATCCTAATAGGGATTGCACCAAGGAGAGGGGCCTTCTCTTTTGATGGCCTGCACCCCCCTAGAGTCGGAGGAAGAACTTCTGCTACCCTTTGAGATCACAGGGAGATTTTTTATGGGGGTGCAGGGCAGTGAACTCTGCTCCTTCAGGAGGTTGGGGATGGGAAGTCACAGGCAGGTGGCCATAATATGAATAAAGATTAGGTCAAAATCTCCAGTCCCCTGCCCCCAACACTGGCCTCTTTTCTTCCTCTCCCCACCCCCACCCCAGCGCCATCCCCTAGTCTGGGTCCAGCCTGACGTGCCTGAGCCCAAATGCTGCTCCAGCGCCTACTAGCTGTGGGCCTCAGTTTCCACAGTGGTACCATGAGCATGTCCACGTGAGGCTTAATTGGGACCGAGGTTGCGGCTTGCTCAGCACAGACCGTGACCCGGGGCGGCGGGCGGAGCTCCCCGCAAGGTAGCTGTCGGCATTCCCGGTTGGGGAGGGGGCCAGAGCACTGAGGGGCGGGGTGGGGGTCACCCAAGAGTCCCGCCACGCGGCCACCGAGTCGCCACCCTCTGTG